TAACGTAATATATAAAGTTTATAATAAAATACAAAAATATGTCTCTTTATTTTTCCCCAATAATAATAATAATAATAATTTATTTTGAAATATATTTCATAAACAAAACCAGAAAAAAAACAGAGCAGAAAATCCCACTTTTTTTTGCCATTTCTCAAATGAACAGATGTAATTTGCCTGTATTATTTTGTGCCCGATGATGCCTCTTTATAGAACACGAGTCAGCGAAGACCCTTTGGAAAGCGTTTGCACCCCAGTGGGGGGACATTTGTCTACCAGACCTCTGCGGCTATTTCTACAGCCATTCAACCTTCGTGTTTCCAAACGACAGAAAATAAGCCAAGCTGCAAGCGTTATGCACACAGCTGCTGTCATTACGCCATACATTTCCTTGGCTCAGAAACCCCTCCCCCACCTGCTAATAAGGCCGTCATATGACCGGACCAGAGCACTAATCACACAATTGTTTATCTGGGCGAATAAGTAAAGGGATTCCTGCATATGGCACAGGGTCTGTGTCATAAACGAATGAACCAAACAGAACTCAGTTTTTGAAAAGCAGTGGGGTTGTTTGACAGATCTGTGCAGTAGGTGTGCGGAGTGAGACTCATCTACTCTAAGCCCCTGTCAGGCTCACGTGTTGCTTCTCTGCAGACGTGTGGTGCGCGTCAGGGCACCAGGCAGTAACGGATTATGGGAGATTTTTGTCCGTTCTCATCCACAACTCAAGTCTCCTCGTTTGTGGTAACCAATCAAATACAGCCCAAGTAAACGGTTGCCTAGCTACTGCATCAAGCTCTTGGTCAAAACCACCAATGAGTGAAGCATTTCAGCACCACCACTTTAATATACCTTTTTTTTTTTTTAAATAAACAAATGGCCTCAAAAAATGTGTTGCGGGTAAAAGTTTCTACTTTTTTTGAATACTAGAGTCAAATAATTGAATGATGTTTGGTACTATTAACAGTTTTTAAATATCTGCATTGCATTCTTCTATCTATGTGAATGAAACAGTTTTCGCTGTAGTTGTAAGCTTAGTCTGAATGAAATGTCTTGAGAAAGACAAGCTGGGTGCAAGTAAATATATAATACTGCTTTATAATCTTGCGGTAATTAGTCCTACCCATGTATATGGTCGTTTTTTTATATTAAAAATGTATAATTTTATAAATGCTACACATTTTTGTATTTTTATAATTTTATAAATCAAATACATTTGACCATTTGACTTTAGGAAAATTGGAATATATTAAATTAATTATATTCTCCATGATTCACATAAATTATGTACACTCATTTAAAAGTTTGTCAATATAAAAATTTCATATTTTAATATTTATTTAATATTGTAACATATTCTAATGTTTTAATATTAGTCTCTTATACTGACCAATGCTACATTTATTTGATCAAAAATACAGTAAAAACAATAATATCACAATTCAAAATTTGCTGTTTTGATTCCGGTGATGGCAAACCAGCCATTACTCCAGTCTTCAGAAAGTCTTTCAGGAAAATATTCAAAATACAGAGAATACAGTATTACATACTTATTTCGGTCCATAAATATATAAACAAAATGTAGTAACTGGTATGATATATTTAGGATCAATTATTTGCCACTTCCTTAGAAGCACTAAGAATCATTAACAGAATCGCTAAGGAACAAAATTCATTAAGCTGAATCTGAATCATTGCATTAAATCAAATCATTAGATTCCCATCCCCTGCGAATTAATCAATTTGAGTTGAACTAGAATTAAATGCCCACACATCAGCGAAAGTTGAGCGAACATTAAACCGAGCATCCATCTCAAACGAGACGTGGATGAATTGAATATAGAGTTACACCAGGATGACAAGAACCACACCTTTCCTTCCAGAATCTCTGTATTAACTGATTCTGTCGCGCCCCTCTCGCTCTGGTAACAGGACGGTTGAAGCGCAGTCCGGTCTCTTAATTGGTCGGCCTGCTGGAGACAAGCAATCAACAAAGAAAATGGCTGTGCCATAAACAAGACCCTCACTGTCCATGCGCTCCACTTAATTTCACATTAGCTGCATTGAAAACTGCAAATCAGCAAATCGAGGAAGGCAGAAAGATGTACTGCACCAGACACTTCACTTACTAACCTTCTGCTGTTATGACAAACAAGCTTCTCCGACCTGCTGAGGCAGGTACAATTATATATAAGACCAGAACTACAACAAGCCAAAGCAGAATAATGCTTATTTGATTTAAAAAATGCAAATCATTGCACACGATTCACTTCCAAGTCAACAGTGGCTCAGAGAAGCTTCACCCTGGATGCAACACTGTCAGAATTTCGCACGGCAATAAAAAATAAAGTTTACTATCAGCTGAATTGACCCAGAATCCTCCTCTGTGTATGACTCAGCTTATAGGCCTTTCTGACATTCCCGCAATATCGCAACTTTTCACGTTAATCAGGGCAACTGAACATTCAAATGAGAGAAATGAACACATGCCAATGAATATATCCAACCTATAACAAGTGCCGCAGGGCCTCTAAACACACCTTAAACCTGTCTGTTCCTGGAAAAATCCATTTTTCATTCTTCAACTGAAATGACTAAAAAATATATAATTTTTTCCCTTTTAAGCGCCATGTCTTTTTTGTCTAATCAAAAGCAGCTTTGGTCTTCAGGAGCTGCACAACAAAGCATGCAAGTTCTGCGGCACCACATGGTACTGATAAACACATGCTTGCACAAAAAGATTCACAAAATTATTGCAAAACTGCAGGTGGGACTATTAGCCAGATTTGTGCTGCAGGGCACAGCACGTATTCTCATGTGTCTCTTCAAAGTTCTGAGGAAAAACAGGGCTGGACAGAGGCAGAGGCAAACACTTTTGCATGCTTTTAAACATGAACACACTGGGCTCTATCCGAAGGACTGCGACCATCCCGGCAGGCAAGGTTTCAACACACAGCTACTGAGCTAAACAGGTCTGTTTCCTATTAAAACAGGAAGCTGGAGACATACTATCAATGGACTTGTCCCATTTTTAAATAGCCGACAGCCTTTAGTCTGAGTCACAGCCATGAATTCTGGCTTACTGCATGTAGTTACTGTTAACTAGAGCTGTGCAAATAATCGAATGTGATTTTCATGTGCATCTCGTCAGTAAAGCCGGTTCTGTGATTAGTAGTAAATCTTGAAAAATTCATTGGCGATTTTGAACGTGATATTGCGTAGCTTGTCAGCGATCTACGGCTCTGTGTAGTAAATGCTGCTCCATCTGAATGCATGTGCTGGAGATTTACTACTAATCACAGAACTGGCTTTACTGACGAGATGCGCATGAAAATCGCATTCGATTATTTGCACAGCCCTACTGTTAACTAAAACCACAACTATTAAAAATCTTTTTTGGTATACATATATATATATATATAAAATACTGTGTTGCAAGTCAGAAGTAGTGGTCAAATGGGTTGTTAAAAGACGGTGCAGATACTTGAAAACCAATTAAATTTTTATATTACTCAAATATTTACACAAATTTTATTAAAAACTGTCCATTGACAAAGCTGGCGGTAGATTTTGGACCCGACAAACATCTACTTCTGTTAACTATTTGATGTAATAATGCAAAACTGGACAAATACAAGCTGATTAATTGATCTAATCACTATATTTGTCTATAGTGATTAGGGTTGGGTACCGAAACCTGGTACCAGTATGTAACCGGTATGTACTAGAACCGAATCAGAACGCAGATTTCGATGCTATGCCTGAGCGATCGGTTGAAATATTTGTCCTCTGGTTCTCCGAAACAGACGTAAGAAGCACCATCACCGGCACCACACGTGAAAAATTATTTCCCGACTGAGAAAATGCACGTGAACTCAAGTCAGAAAGCTCTAATAATACAAATCCAACAAATCTTTGTAGTAACAAGAGTGTCCATGTTGTTTTCACATTCCGACTTAAAAGCACAACTCGGGAAATGAGAGCATCCGAGGAGCGCGTGAATGCAGTAATTACATTTGCTCTGACGGCAGCAGGTAGCCTTCCATTAACTAAGCTAAACATGCTTAAATTAAAATGCCTAAAGCTAAACTTCCCTTGTATTCACATTTCTAAACCTGTTGTCCAAAAAAAGAGAACATTATAACCTTTTTACTCCACAACACCAGTCAAATGCTTCCTTTTGTGATCTGCTTCTTGTCACAGAATGAGGCAGAAAATATGTTCCATAGGCTACTTCAAAAAGAATACATCGATTAGCAATGGATTATAAATATACTTATTTATTATGAAAATACCAGAGATGGCTTGAATAACACAGATAAACTATATTGTCGCAGTCGAGTGTTTATTGTCTTTGTTTTATCATTCAAAACGTTTATATGTTCGGTTTACTCAGTTACAGCTATAATAGGATGTCTTTGACATTATTAGGGATTTCCTGGAGGGTCATGTGTTCCGCTACTTGGATTTTCTGTGCGAGGGCACCCTTTAGAGTCCAGTATGAATGAAACAGACATCATGTGTTTATAGTGCTAATGGCCAATCCATCATTTTTGGGGGAATTTTTATTTATTTATTTATTTTTTAATAAGTACCGGTTCAGGCACCGGAACCGTTTTAAACGTATCGATTTGGCACCGGTATCGAAAAAAACCCAAACGATACCCAACCCTAATAGTGATAGTCACAAGTAGGTGGTATTATGGGGAGAGTATTTTATTGGACAAATAAATGAATACGCCTGCGAGTGCAAACTGAATCATCAATGTTTTCCCAGATGACTTAAGTGACTACAAGGCAATAATCACTCAACTTTTACAAGTACGCAACCATACAGATGGCCTCAAATGAACAGACAAGGACTAAAAGCCACAAAAATTTGGACTATAACAACTTCAGGAGACAATGCCTTTTCAGTGAACGCTGAGCGAAATAAAACACAAAGCACTTCATCCCACTGCAGCGTGTACACTGAAAGAGTGCCGAATCGAATGGCTTACCTCTTGCTGACAGTTTCTTTGTGTTAATAATTTTAGCAGCATATTCCTGGCCAGTGGATTTTTTCACACATTTCCGCACCACGGAGAAGGCACCCCTGCGAATGAAGAACACACAAAGTTTAAGTTTCCCTCAAAAGTAAAAGATGCACCTGACTCTCGCAAACTCGGAAGAGCTGTCGGTCATTGAAGATGTAACAGCGGTTCTATTATAAATTAGTGATGAGTATTCCAACAGCTTGCTTCAAAAAACTGATTCACCATTTTCCACCAAGTTCTAAAATGCTGTTTATTGTAATTTTATGTAATTAATTTAATGCAATTGAATGTGTTCACTGCTTACAACGCAAATAAAAGTTACATTTACATGATTCTACATTAACAATAATTTACAGTGAGTCAAGAATCCTTGGAAAGATTCGGTCCGATTTGTGAACGAGTCATTCCGATTCATTGGCAAGATTCGACACAAAAGACCGATTCGTTCACAAATCGGACATTGCGAGAAATTTAAGTATGACAAAAAGAAGTGTAAATCAGAAAATGCTCTAATGTCTGCACACAATTAGACACTTAACACAACACTGTCTACTCCACTTCGGACATTAGCCTCTAAAAATGGGCGGCGTGCACAGCACTTCACATCTGCATGTCAGTAATGCTCTTCCCAAAAGTGAGATTTAATACTCAGAAAGGCGTCACTGCTCATTTATTGATTTTATAATCCCTCTTTATCGCTCCCCTCCTAAGATATTAAAGTGTGATTAACTGTGTGCGCGACACACTCAATATTTCATTGTAATATCAAGTACGCGGCTACATAATCTTTAGTGCACTACAGAGTGCACTACGCTGCAATAATTTTAAGCAGCTGCAGAACAATACGATTTAACCTCGGGTTACGAGTATAAAACAAACCACGCAGTTAATGTCAGGAAAAGTGGCAGCCAAATACCCAAAGTAACCGAGAAAACCTCCCTGCCCATCAGCAAGCCCTTAAAATAAAACAAGGCGTGAACACAAAACACAGTGTGTACTGTATTCAACATTCTTCACCACAGATAGGTTACTCCAAACCACTACAGCCCTTTAAACCTGACATTAACAACGGTTAGAGCTGGGCTTGATCGGATCAAGTCCAGGACTGAGTGCAGTACTCGGTTCTGGTCTTGGTCCGATCAAGCCCCCCTGTGCGTGGCTCTCGGAGAGGTTTACGAGACCCTTTGCGAGCCATTTCCCCCGCTGTCAACATCCAAATCAAAGAATGGAACGAAACAAACAAGAGTAACTTGCGCCGATGACGTCACGCCGCTACAATGTTGCGCGCACTTACTTTCCCAGCTCTTCGTAAAGCTGATACTCGTCCGTAAACCTGGTCGAGATTACAATTGTAGCCATGTTGTGCGTGCGTGTGGGGAGGGGGGTCGATGCCTCTGCCTCTGCTGCTGCGGTTCAGGTTTCGGGAGGAGAATCTCATGTGTTCCAGAGAGAGAAAGAAGGAGATACAGACGGAAAGAGCGGAGGGGAGGGGCTGGATGGTGGGGGTGGAGAGAAAATCACGCGAGACAACGCGAGACTTCCCTGCAATCAGCAAAGTCACGGGTAGGGTGACAGACTGACAGATCTTTTTCATTTATTTCATATTTATATATATCATTCATTTATTGGCAAGAGTCAGTTTTATTCATAATATGCATCGAAAACCATTTAACTGGTTAAATTATGTAAATATAAAAAATAAAAAGGTGTCAGAATATAATACACGTTAGAGTATAATAAAGCAACACAACACGATATTAAATAAATTATTTCGATTCACTTTAGCTATCTGTAATATGTTTGATAATAATGTAAAAAACAGCCGCGTTGCTACTACATTTATACAAAACATTACAGTATGGTCATTATAAAACATAAAAACTGAAATGTGTTTGGTTGAATAGTTAGAAACATGAAAATTAGTATGTTCTTATTATCATGCAAACGTTTGGGATAAGAAAGATTTGATGAGAAAGAAAAGAAAATGTTATTTATTTATTTGTATTATTTTAAAAATAAGTCTCGCATTTAGTTCATCAAAAATGCAGTAAAAACAGTAATACTGTAAAAACTAATAATAATAATTTATTCCTGTGATGGAAAAAGCTGAATTTTCTGCAGCCATTACTCCAGTTTTCAATGTCACACGATCCTTCAGAAAACGTTCTAAAATGCTGATTTATGTTGATAACAGTTCTGCATCTTAATATTTATTTATTTATTTGTTTGTTTGTTTGTTTGTTTTTGTCCTGTAATACTTTTTTTCAGGATTCTTTAATTAATAAAAATTTAAAAAGAACAGCATTTATTCCAAATAGAACTCTTTTGGAACAATATATGCTAAAAGTTTGTGGTCAATATGTTTTTTCTTTCCTTCTTTGAAAGAAATTAATATTCAACAAGGATATGTGAATTTAATTAAACAAAAAATGATAGAAAAGACTGAAAACATTTAGCTATAGTTCCAGCGTTTAAAGATATCTATGTATATGTGTGTATGTATAGTGTGTATATACACACACATAAAGTCTTGTAGCTGGTGATTTCCTTTTTTATTATTGGGGGAAGGGGGGTTGCCTTCACTAAATTATCCTTTTGCATCTTTCAATAGTCTCTCAATGAATATGAGGTCATAAAAACAGCATAGTATAATAATAAAGATTTAGTTTAAATACTTTTAGATGAATAATAGCTCGTCAGATGACAGATCACTCAATATACATTGCTTTTGCTTCCATTTAAATATCAGAATACTTTATATCATTGTCTGGCCATCATGCTCTTATAAAGCCCACTGCATGCTCCAAACGCACTTTCAAAAAGACTTTGCTTGTCAGGTTATCGCACCTTATAAGTGCTTCTATTCCTTCACTCAAGGGACAGTGTGTTCTCTCACTCTCACACCAGATTGCAAAGATGAAAGTCTGCTCTCCATTTAAAGCATCAGGCTATGAGAGCGGACCATTACATCTAAGTAATAAAGTTTGTTATGGCTGCCGAAGATCCTTTCTTGTGATTGACTTCCACAAAGATGAAGTCATGGTAAAAATCTTTATAGAGATGAAACATCGCTGAGCCCATGTCATGATTAGCACTCAGTAGTTTGAATAGTACATTTAGTTACATCCTAAATGAAGTTTATTTAGCAAAAAAAAAACAGTTCTATAAGAAATGCGGTTATGTGTCATTATATTGTCGATGTTCCTTAGTGAGCTCTCAGTTATTGGCCTGTGTAATCACTAAATACAAGCAGCATTCATAATTGATGCAGTTTTACTGTTAATCTGAAATATTCAGCACTTTCATCCATTAGTCCATCATAAACATAAATCTAGTGTGGTCCATGAGAATGCCTTCAGTTCATTTAAATTCCAAAACTGCTGAGATTGTTTTTTTTTCCAATAATCTATTTAAAATCATCAAATAAAATATGACAACAATGGTATCATATATTTGACTTCTTCTTTACTTTTAAAAGGATCACAAAAAATGCACAGGAAAAAAAATGTTAACCAGAAAAAAAATTCATGTACAGTTTTTGGAAGTAAAAAGATTGTCATCTTATAATTTACAATGACAAAATGTAAATTGACATTTCCAGAAACTTTGCATTTGTTGGTTTTTCATTGAAATATTTGTTTCTTCAAGACATGATTATTATAGATAATTAAAACTAAAACTGAAACTAAAATTAAAACCATTTAAAAAAGACAAATCAGTTTCATGAATTTCATTACTTGAAATAAACTAAATGTTAACTGGAATAAAAAAAAACTTTAGTTCAACTTGATGTAAAACAACAAAAACAAAAACTGAAATAAAATAATAAAATCTATATAGACATGTAAACCCCCCTACTAAATAACTACAAAAAATCACACAAAAAAATACTAAAACGTAAAATTAACGATTTAAAATGAAAACAAAAATATAAAAATAAAAGCTGATGTACATTAGGAAAACATCCAACCAATGAAATTACAAGCTTGACCTGAACATGCTAAACATGCAAATCATTTAATTATCCAATATCATAATACATTTGTGCATATCAGAATACGTTCAGGTATGCACATGACATCACTCAGGACATTTAGCCAATGATATCAGATGCAGAATTCAACAGCAAATCAGATGAATAAACACATGAGATTTTATCAAGAATTAACCACCATCCAAAGCACCCCTTATGCCATCTCGATGAAATGACCAAACTCTGTGTTCAGAGAGATTATGGCAGCAGTGTTTGCAGTTCTGATGTTGATCTGAATCAGTTGACTTGTTTGCAAAGTCTCTATAATGGCAGCCAAATGAAGTAAACTCTCCACATTGCAACTCATGCTGCAAGACATAACACTCTGGATGAAGGAACATAAATTAGTCATCAATCAATAGAGATCAATGGGCTTATTTTCACCAGGAGCACAGAGTTCAGCTCTTGTCTTCGAGATGGAGAGAAAGCTTGAAACACATGGAAACACACGCCATTCACTGCAACTCTATTCATGAATTCATATACTCTATGAAATATTCAACATTTCTAATGTATGGGCTGAATGATTTACTTGTGATGACATATTTATCATCTCAATTTATGAAATCAGGCACTGAATATTAGATTTTCAAAAACATCTATGTCTATAAACACATTAAAAATGTAATTCTTCATCGGTTTTTACAGTATTTTATTTATTATATTTAATTACATTTTAAATATGAATTAAACAACAGCAAATATTGAAGTATGTTCAATTTTGAAAGTTTGAAATAATTTAATCTAAAAGCCTGAAACCACTATATATACTGTATATTAAAACAACAATTTGAGAAATGTTTATGAAACAATTTCAGAAATCTTTAATATTTCTTATTTGTTTTATGCCATAATCTAAAAAAAATTAAAGTTGAAACTCTGAATTCTTGGTTTCTATTTTTTTAATTCTTCATGGTTTTTAAGATACACATTAAACTATATTTTAATTATTTAAAATTAAATAAACAATTGTAAATATGTATTACATGTATATATTTATATTCATATAATTTATATTATATATAAATATATTTAATATATAAACATAACATATTTTTCTGAAATATATACATGCATGTGTGTGTGTTTATATATACATAATAAATATACACAGTACACACACATATATTATGTAAACAAAAACTTTGATTTTGGATGTGATTAATCGCGATTAATTGTTTGACAGCACTAATATTATTATATTAAGTCAACTGATCACTTTTTACAGTGTGTATATATATATATATATATATCGCTTTGGATAAAAGCGTCTGCTAAATGACTAAATGTAATGTAAATGTATATACATATATATGTCTTCTTTACTCTTTCAAAATCCTAAAACATATTTGCGTCCAAATTGTTCCACTGTGGTCTAAGATGAAAAATGCACAGTCCAGCTGCTTGGGAAACAATTCCCTAAATCGTACTTCACACTAGAATCCCTGAATGAAGGTCATGTGGATCATGTTAAAGAGCAGTCACTCGGGCCTAACCGTTTTAACACTGCATCAGGTAGTGTTGCAAACATGTTGGCACATGTAGTTCCTTCTTAACCTAAACATCAAGGATACTTAGTATGTGACTTCCACATGTTGTCAGCGTGAGAGCAGACAGAGTGAGTGAGAGAGAAAGAGTGTGAAAGAGATTGAAAGTGACAGTAAGAGAGAAAGAGATGCTAACAGGTTGTAACAACAGAAGAGTGAGCTTTTCTCAGCTGTTAATGTCACTGGCTCTAATTTTCTGGCATGTCATTGGGGAAGACGCTGAACTCATCAGTCATTCTTGAGTCTCCACATGCTCCCTGCAGAATCACTGTCACTCTTGCTCCTCCGCTCACAAGTGCAGCACATTATCACATGTAGCATGAAGTGCTGGCCATTATCATATGCTCAGTCAGTGTGTCACAAGTCCCAACTGTTGTGACTGATCTTCTATCAGTAGCCATCAACTAGAAGGTAAGGCTATTAACTATAACTTTTGCCCAGATAAACTCCTAATTTGCTGCTTGTTAATAGTTAAGGTAGTTGTTATATTTAGACATGTGGTGGGATTAAGGGATCTAAAATATGGAGGATAAGACATTAATATGTATTTTAAACAGCCTAAGCTCTAATAAACAGCCAATATGATTGTAATATGCATGATAATAAGCAACTAGTTAATAGTGAGAACTGGTCCCTATACTAAAGTGTAACCATTTGCTGATTTGCTGCTAATTATTTCTTAGCAAGTTGAAAACCGTTGTGCTGCTTTATAGTTTTGTGGAAATCCAAATACATTTTTTTTTCAGGATTTTTTTTTGATGAACAAAGTTCAAAGTTTAAGGAACAGCATTTATTTGATATATAAGTCACTTTTGATCCTTTTCATATACAGTATATAAACGTTTATTAATTTTTTTATATATATTTATACAAAAAACTAAACTAAAATAAACTAATATAAAATCATTAATGCTTCTTATTTTTATGTCA